CGCGGCCCTCGGCCCCTTCTCGTTTCTTCTACTGCAAATGAGGGCTGTAATGCAGTGGCCGGATTGTTGTCCACGGGAGACTATTATAGGAATAACAGAGTCTTTATTAATTATTTGCTGCCATCCGCTACGCGTTCACCTCCTTGCAAAACTGGGAGCGCACACTGCACATTTCTTTATTCCCTTTTTGCTTATATAGCTTCCCTGGTTGCCACGGCGACTATGCTGGGATGCCGTGCCCACCAGTGTGACATGTGGTGGACGGTCATGGAAGGGATGTCATGGCTCAGGCGTTGAGATTACGGCTACATGTGGGCGCATGGCTCGACTCTACTTCCTTTGATCGTCCTGCTTCTTCCCTTATCTGTTTCATGCTGGTGAAGTTTTAAGGGAAGGAATAAAGGATGGCGCAGTTCAGGCAGGGTCAGATGGGGGAGCCAGCCCAGGTGTCCCCCTGTGGCTGAGACATTCTGGGAAGGCGTCAAACTGAGTTGATTCTGCCTTAGTCTCCTATTTCTAAGGTGAACTGTCTACTATGGTTTAGGACACCAGCTCCTACAGTAACCCCTTTGCCGATTATTAGGAGCACCAATGAAGATAAAACAGAAACTGCCGAGCAGAGATGCGTTCAGCAAACTGGAGTAAATGTCACTACAAGTGCTGCCCCGACCAAGATTATACCCTCTAGCCCCCATATGAGCATTTCAAATCCCAGCATTGGGGGTTTGGCCTTGTGTATGGGGCCAACCTGGCCAAGAGGGGATGAAGATGAAACACAAACAGACATAGCATAGGTTAAAATGTGGGGCCAGGACTCTTGTCTCCCTTCTACACGGAGCCGGAGTGGCTGCTGCGGCTTGGCCTGTTTATTCCTCGCATGCGCAGAGTGAAGCAGGGTTTGTTCACCTCCCACCAGCCACAGCACAACCAGACCGCTTAACTGTCTCTGCAGCATGTCAGCACACATGCTGCCTTTCTCCCTAGTGCTCACGGAAGAGGCCGACTGGGCCTGAATCTTCCTTTGGGGTTTATGGTTTGATTGCTGAACGACCCCTGCTAAATGCAAATGTGTTACTGCAGTCATTGGCTATTATAGTGAGTCATCAATAATTGGCTCAGTTGATCAGCAAGGACTAGAACGTGAGGGATGAGGCCAGTCCAGCTGCGAATTGTGCGTGCGTTCTGTGCTCAGCAGGCCATAGATGCTTCAGCTGGATCAGTGGCTCTGTGGCTCTGTGGCTCCGTGGCCTTGTTTCCTCAACCTAGGGTCCTCCGGGCAGCACCTCTCTGGTGCAGCTAAGAGGAGAAAACATCGCTGCAGCGCTTCCTGGCAGGCTGGCCTCAAGGCCCCGGCCTGAGCAGGAGTCAGAAACACTGAAGCCACCTCTGTCGAATTAGTGCAGGGGAGAGGCAAGCGGGGAGAAGGGAGGCCCGAGCTAGCCCTGCCCGGGCATTCATGAGCGCGCTTTGCGATGCAGCCATGGCTCCAGCAGCAGCACAGTGGGGTGCTCCATAGGACTCTCTGAGGGGAAGAGACATCACCACTCACCCATTGTGCGCAGGCTGCTCCAGACCTGTAGCCTGCGCCCTGGGTGCCTTTTCAGGGTATGTTCTCTCCTGTCCCCCTTGCCAGCATCTCAGCTGGGCTGCATGCTTCGTACTCCAAGAGAGACAAACAAACAATAAAACAGTGCAGACAGGAAAGGCATGGAAGGCAATGCCAGCTTCTCACTGCAGTGTCCACGGGGACATCATATGCCAGGTCACAGCCAGAGAAATCTGCATTCAGTCACCAGGCACCAGGAGGGCCCAGTCCTCCTAATGCCGGCCAGCAGCTACTGCTGTCCCTCCCCCATCCCCCATGGACTCTTTCTGCCTTATTATTCAGCTTCTCTTCTGACTACAAGGCCAGCCTCAGCCACCAAGCCCAAAATGTGGAGACAGCCCAGGGAGGACGGAGCTCCCAAATACCTTAGGGGCAGCCCCTCTATGGGAGCGCAGGATCTGCCACTCCTGGAGCCTGCAGGATGGCCAGGCCAGAGGTGACTCATTTCTTCTTATTCTTGGTAACAGTATTAGGGCGATATAATGTATTTACTGTACAATTCACCATTTAAACCTACAAAGCAGTGGTTGTTAGGACATACCTGTAGTTATACAACCATCATCATATTCAACTCTGTGTGTGTGAGAGAGAGACAAGGAGAGACAGAGAGACAGACAGAAAGAAAGGGAGAGAGAGACAGAGAAAGAGACAGAGAGACTGTGAGCCCATTAGCCATTACTCCCCAACATCCTTACATCCTCGGCCTGAGGAACCATTAATTCATTTTCTGTCTCTATACCTACTCTGGACATTTATACATAGAATCAAGTCATTTGATTTTTTGTGTATGCTTTCTTTCATTCTCTATGTTTTTTGAGGTTATCCATGTTGGATGCGTAGAAACAGCTCATTGCTTTTTCATGGTTATGTAATATTTTATTGTATAGCTTGCTACATTTTATTTTATGATTTATCATTCAGTGGATGTTTGTGCTTTTTTGACATTCTATTACAAATAATACTCCTATGATTATTCATGTATAAGTTTTTATATAGACAAAACTTTGCTTTAGAATGTTCTCCTAGGCCAGTGGTGTTTTGATGAGGGGTGATTTGTGTCCCAAGGGACATTTGGCCATAGATGGAGACACTTTTGATTGTCACACCTGGAGAAGGGATGGTCCTGGCAGCAAGTGGGTAGACACCAAAGATGCTTCTAAGCATAGTACAGTGGTCAGGGAAACACCCCCAAAACATTCGCCTAGAAAGTATCCACAGTGGGCTAAGGAGATAGCTCAGTGGAATAAGCACCCGCTTGACAAGCACAATGCCCTGAGTTCAAGCCCTGGTACAAAAAAAAAAAAAAAAAAAAAGTATCTGCGATGCTCAGGTGAGGAGCTCTGGTCACAAGATGCTTGGGGAACCCTGTGGGGCCTCGTTCTTCCCTCAAGCCATATCTAGACAGTCTCACACTTGTAAAACCCACCCTTATTTAAAGCAAAACCCTGGGGCTGGGGAGATAGTTCAGTAGAATAAGCACTTGCTTGGCAAGCCCAGGGTCCTGAGTTCAATCCCTGGTACCACAAAAACAAAACAAACAAACAAACAAACAAAAAAACTTTGAAGGAAAAAGACTCATGTTCTTTCAGAGCTCTTTCTGGGTCTGAACCATATTGTTTATACTAAGACTTTGTCATTCCAGATCTAGGGTTTTAGGGAACCTGCAAACCACCTGGAATGGTTTGCTTAAAAGTGGGCACCTGTAAATTGTTCTGGAGAGGAGGGCTCCATTCTCTGGGGGTCTAAGAGCCACATCCTTTGTCTTCCAAACTAATTTTCAGTGATGCAGCATCTGCCTGGCAAGTGTAAGGTCCTATGTTTGATTCCTGATACCAAAAGAAAAGAAAAGAAAAGAAAAGAAAAGAAAAGAAAAGAAAAGAAAAGAAAAGAAAAGAAAAGAGATCAGCACACCAGTTTCCTCTTGTTCAGCTCCCTGTAGCATCTGCTCAGAGATGGGATGCTCTGGTATCCGATGCCAGCTCCTCAAGACTTGGAGTCAAAAGGGAGCTGCAGTGCAGGTGAGAGGGAGGCCCCACGATTTGCCCGCAGTCCCCTTGCTGGCTGGTGGCAGAGGCAGCCTCGACCTCTCTATGACATATCCTGACAAAGTGGTCAAGAGCACTGGTGTCAGAGTCGCACGGCCTGGCCACGGATCGCTGCTCTGTGCCTCGGGTGAGTGACCGCAGGAAGGACGCGTCAGCTCTCTGTGCTTCCGTGTCTTCCCCTGAAACATGGGCCGGGGTGGTAACACGGCTGCCCTTCAGTGGTTGGAGCGTTTAGTACGATGCCTCACAGGATGCGTGCACTTGGGGCTGCTTTTTCTTCTTTGCACGATGCTTCTAGTTTTTCAACACACAACAATTCAGTGTTAAAAATCTAAAATGTCCATGCTGAGACCTTCCTTCATGCAGTGTCACTTCCCTTTCGACATGGCAGTGTTGAAGATACCTTTGAAGGTAGAATTTTAAAAAAGAATGGAACGTAATATTCTCTCTCCCTGTTTCATACAAGGGAGATAGGTCTTTTGCAAGTGGGGAGGGGTCTAACAGATGGAGGAAAGGGAGGAGAAGGAAAAATAAAATGGAATTACGATGCTGCTATGCTTGCTACATCGGGTTAACTTGAAAAGCTTAGAAGTTTAAGGAAGCCACTCAGCAAGAGGACTTTATTCTCAGCTTGTGCAGGAGGAGGGCTGGAAGATGGGGTGGGTGAATGGCCGGCATACAATACAAGGGGGGGAGAGGTTTGCTTACCCCCCTTTTCGCTCTTGCTGCCTCTGCTGCCCCTTCCATGCCACTCTGCCTCAGAGCCAGCTGTTTACAGACTGAAACCTCCACAAACTGTGAACTAAACAAACCTTCCCTTCCTTAATTTTGGATGTCGGGTATTTTGTCTCAGCAATGAGAGAAAAGTAACCACGTGCCAACAGTAATCACTGTGTCCTGCAGGTACAGACTAATGAAACTTTTTGTTTGTTTGTTTTTGGTGCCGGGGATCAAACTCAGGACCCTGTACTTGCCAGCCAGGTGCTTAAGCCACTGAGCTGTCTCCCTGGCCTAAGGAAACTTTAAAAGCCCCTTTCCTCTGTATTGAATGCAGAAATAAATGAATGAAGCCAGGGCAGGACAGGAGGAGGGTGTGGGGTCGTTTCTGGGCCCTGCGATGGGGAGAGCTGAGGCATGAGGCCGTGGGTCCCTCCAGGGTCAGAATTCTAGGCAACTGTTAGGACGGAGAGTCGCGATGACCAGAGGAGAGCGGGGAGAGAAGCAGGGGAGCTGCGGGGCTACGCCCCCTAGAGGCTGGAGCGGACTGCGCTCTAACGAGCGCGGAGGAGACCTGGGCGAAGGCAGAGACCACCGTGGTAGGAATCCAGGTGACTCCAGGCTGCAGCCAGGGTTGAGTGCGGTTGCTGGAAGTGGTGCCCCTTGCTCCGGGTGGGTACTGGTCTCAGTTTCCCAAGTTTTTCTAAACAAACACAGAGAACTAGAGTGTCTTGGAGCGCCGGGAACAGGCTGGAATAGCTACCCCTCGTGCCCTTGCTGTGTTTGTTGGGGCTAAGTGGGTGCCTGGTGGAGCTGACCTTCTAGGAGGAGCCCTGGGCTTCTAGGGAAAAGTGGCTGCCTGTGCTCAGCCAGCGAGTCCCCAGCCAGCCCTGCGTGACCAGGGCCAGTCTCTTCACCCCTCTTGCCTCCGTGCATCACCAAAACTGAACCCTAGCACTATATAAACCGTGAGTTTTGCATGACTGTGGTGTCGAGGCAGTGTCGTTGATTATAACCAAAGTGCCACTGTGCTGTGGGGAAGGCTGTGCCCATGTGGGAACAAGGATGGGAACTGTGTATCTGCATCCACTTTTCTTGTGGGTTTATGCTATTACAGCCCAGCGTGGTGGCCTGTAACCCCAGCGCCCTGGGAGGCTGAGGCAAGAGGACTGCAAGTTCAAGCCCAGCGTGGAGCACTTGGCAATTTAGCAAGACTTTGTCTCAAAATTTGAAAATGGCCTGAGAATATAGCTCAGTGTCAAAGCCCTGCTTCAAGGGGCTGGTGAGATGGCTCAGTGGTCTAAAGCACCTACTTAGAACAAGCTTAGCAAAGCACAGGGACCGGGGTTCAATCCCCCAGCACCACATGCCAGCCAGCCCGCCCCCTGGTGGGCTGAGCTGGCCACACACACACACACACACACACACACACACAAATATAAATAAATAAAATAAATTAAAAAAAAAAAAGCCCTGCTTCAAGCCCTGGTAAAAAAAAAGGGGGGGGGGTATTAGCAAGTGCAGCATAACTCATAAAATAAGAAAGATTATTGGGAAACTTAAGAGTTGATGTATGCAAACCAGGCACTGTGGCATATGCCTGTAATGCCAGCACTTGGGAAGCTGAGGCAGAAGGACCATGAGTTTGAGCCCAAATTGGGCAACTTAGTGAGTCTTCATTTCAAAACAATTTAAAAGAGATAATGATTTCAGATACACAAAAACATTCACTAAGGAGTAGTGGTCACTTTCACATCAGACACCTGAACATCTGATACAGAGAATGCTTTTTCTTAGCTTTATGAGTGAAGAGGTTTTGAAAAAACTTTACCCAGATTGGGGGATGCCGAGATAGGTGTGGCTCCCGGATGAAGAGAGGGCGGATGCACCCAGTGTGTTGGGACGAGGGAACAGTGACCAACAAGGTGCTGAGGCAGGAGGAAGCTTGATCCCTGGAGACGAGGGCCACGGAGAGAGGGGGAGAGCCCGCTGAGTCCCTGGGCGCATCTGTGTGTGGATCTTGAGTCCCACTAGGATCCCTGAGTCTTTGTGTCACTAGGTTCTGTGCCAGGCTGTGGAGTACGCTCTGTAGATGTTTACTGAAGAAAGGAAAATCAACTATTAACCATGGCTCGGCCTCTCTGTCAGTAAATTAGAATATCACTATTCCAGGCTTAATTGTTCA